ACGAGTTAGATTAACTAACGTGGTTTTGTCAACTTACAGAATTTATGTCTTGATTTTCCTTCTTTTATTTGTTTTTTTTTTGCTTTTTATTTTATCTAAATAATCGATTTACGCGTCAACTTTTAATATTGATATTATAACGACAATATTTTCATTTAGTTAATAATAGTATCAATTAATTTGTAATTTAATTATTATTTTTATTAGGTGAACAAAGATCACCTCTCCCCTCCTAAGAGCAACTCCAACACTGCGTTGGAGTGGAGTTGAATCTCTACTTCGAAGACTCCAACGCTACGCCACTTTCCTTCTCTATTTTGGCGTGGCAATTAGTTTCACGCTACATCTAGCGTGGTAATGTAGTTGCGTTAATTTTTTTTTGTTATTTTTATGAGATTTAATTTTAAGAATTCCTTATCTAATTTAAATAAATCAAAGATGCAAATGCTCATTTTGCTCTACGAAATACACTAATTGAACATTTGTAGAATGAATATTCTAATTTAGAGAATTAAAATATATAATTATGTAATTTATGTTTTTTTATTATTATTATGAATTGTAATTTTCTTATTTATTTGTATTTTTGTAATGTTATTTATGAATGTTTTATTTATGTTTTTATCTTGATATTTATTAGAAATGTATATGTTTTATTTTATATTTGTAAAATCAATATTATAATAGTTAAATATTGTGAATAAAGTAGAGTTAGTGATAATGTAGAGATAATGCTGGAGATGAATTACTGTTTCATCTTTAGAGTAGAGATAGAAATATTGTAGAGTAGAGATGAGAGCCGGAGATGACATAAAGTTATTTAACAACACTTCTCTCGACGGTTTGGTGCTTGCCACATTTCTACACAAAGCACCCATGTGATAACATATAGGGATGTTATAACACATAATCAAATCTCCTAATGGTAATCATGAATGTTAATTAAGAAAATATTAATATTTAATTAGGAGAATTGGGACTTTAATTTGGAATATTGCTTTTTAAGTACCCATGAACAGTTAAACCAAGTGTGGTGTTATGATAATATCATATGTACCATTCAAAAAAGGCAACTTCATATAATTGTTTGTCAAAAGAAGAATGGGGTAGTTCAGTGTACTAGCCGCATATTGGTGAGGGTAGATATGTGTCCATCTTGAAATTCAATTTTTTTCTCGATTGATTACTTATTTTACTAATGGTGCTTACCTTAAAATTTTTCGTGCCCATCATGAAATCTGAGTTTTCTTCGATTAGTTACTTATTTTACTGTTTGTGCCCACCCTAAAATTTTATTTCTACCTATCCCATTTAAAAATTTTAAATTGTTGATATATATTTGTCTATTCTTAAAAATATTTCTGATCCGCCACCGGGTAGTTTATAGGATTTTTTTATTATCCTTTTATGATATTTTGCTAAGAGAGGTGACACCTAATGCCCTCATAATTTGTTAAACTTAAATTTATGATCCAATAATTTAAACTATAATTCAAAACTAAAATAATAAAAATTTATGTTGTATCTAATTTTTTAAAATAGAAATAAATAAATAACTATTAAATAATTAAATTAAACTATAATTATTAAAAAATTCATTACATAAATTTAATAGGTGAATTATGTAAATATAAAACAATAAAATTTATAAGAAATTTCATAACACAAAATTTATTTTAGTTTATATTAAAAATATAATGTTAATGTATATTGAACATCAATTAAATTTAAAAAATACACAAAATTTTGTTATATGCAATAGCATAAAAAAGTGTCATTAACATAAAAATATCTTTAGTGGTAATTGAGACCCTCAAAATTTTGGGGGAAAATAATTAGTGTAGTCCCTAATTTTTTTTTGCATCAAATATGATTCTTAAACTTAGAAAAAAAAATTAATCTAGCCCTTTAAATAGATGAATCAAACCTTAACATTCATGATGCTTACATGATAGTTTATAAACTTACATGATAATCTAAAATTTTGATGTGACGATTTATGATATTGTTGTTGTAGTACTTGATGAACAACAACGTGATAGATGAACTTAATTGGTTATCAAAAAGTTTGAGGACCTGTTTAATTCAAAATAAAAATAAAAAATCATTTAGATTAAAAATATAAAATATAAATAATTATTAAGATAATCAATACATTAAATATAGAATACTACAAAATTAAATTATTTAAAAAAATTAATTTAAGAACTACATTGAGTGTACAAAAAAGTTTAGGGACCCTATTATTTTTTATAAAATTTTGAGGATTTCAAATATAATTAAATCAAACCATTATTTTTAGAATGATTTAAACTTGTGTAAGTTAAGTTAAAAATCTATATATCATGATTCCGTATTTTTCAAAAATTTTAAACAAGCTTAATGAAAATACTGAAAACATCTTTTTTTATATTTTCATATTTTCACATATTTTTGTTTTCATTTTCCATAAATCATTTTCTAATTTTACAATAAAACACATTTTCTTCAACTTTTTTTAGAAAAATAAAAATGAAAATAGTCTATTATTTTTTAAAACAAAACGGACCCTTAGTAACTATTAATAGTATCTCCGTCTTTATTCAAACATATACATAATACTAAAGTAAACATGAAGATTGAGAGAATCAGTCTAACATATTGGTCGATGAACAGTTTTGAATGCATTGATATACCGACATAAAAGGAGATTTAACTATACAATACCTTCCTTAAAAAAAAACTATACGAGACCATAGACATTTCATGATCATATGGTATACCATGATGAATGCAATATGAAACACTAAAACTATCATAATGATAGATAAAATTGTGCCATAAAAGCAAACAAAGAGTTGTTCCATACATGTATAAAAAATAATCGCTTTAAAATATGCGAAAAAGAAATAAATCAAAATGGAAAAAATATTTATTTAGATTTAAATCGGAAAAAAAAAATAACATAAAGTTAAACACTTGGTAACCCCTAAAATTTTATTTGATTTCTTTACTTAATCTTAGTGACATGTGAAAAATACACACATGCAACTAACAAATATCATGTACTATATTAAAATAACAACGATAATTTAAATTTAAACATTAAAACTATATTATTGTTGAACAATAATTATAGTGAATAAAATTTAATTTAATTTTAAAAAAATGATTTAAATTAACTTAAAAATTAAATAAAATTTGAATGATAAGATATAACACGTCAATTTGATTAATTGAACTTGAGTGAATACTCATCTCTAATTATTTTTCTATGTTAAGTCCATTTTTATCAAATTTGAATAAAATATTTTTCTATCTCTATAAAATATCTATATAATTTTGTTTTAATCCATCAATTTTATATTTTATTCAATTTAATTTTAACGTAATTTGTGTAATTTTTTTTATTCACATGCATTTATTGACTTATTTGTACTCTCAATCATATTTTGTACCCAAAATTTATTATTTAAAAAAATAAAATTATATATATATATTATAATTTCAGATTATATTTAATTATTAGATAAATTAAATTGTAAAAAATATCAATAAATATATATGTCTTATTTGTTTAGAGAGTTAAATTAGAATTAATCCGTATCATAATTTTAAAAATAATTATAATTTAAATAAAAGTTTAAATAATTCAATTCAAAAAAATTTAAATAAAATTTAAATTATAAAATATGATACATTAATTCAATAATTAATCAATGTAAAAGAAAAAAAAATACATTCTGAAACAAAAACCAATACAACTACCTCTATAGCAGTGCCATCCTTGTTTCCATCCTTGCTCACTGTACTTTCTCTTTTATCTTTATCTTTTCTTTTTACAATTTAAAAAGCTGAAAAGCAACTACGCTGTAACTTTCCCTGCCACTTGTTCTTCTGCTTTTTACCCTAAACCCTCAACTCTCCATTATTTAATGTTCAAAACCAAACCAATTTCGAGGCTCTCAAGCCTGAAAAAGGAAGGCGAAAAGTTGGGAAGCTCAACAGTAAACCCTACTTTCTTTTTTTTCTCTTTCATCATTTTTCATTCATTCATAATGCTCTCTCCCCCCATTCAGTACTTTCAAAGCTAACATTATCCACTCTCTCTTCAAATAATTCCCATTTGGATTATCCTTTTGCTCAGTCTCTTCCTCTTTGCTTCTGGTTTTTTGCTCTTCCCATGGGGATGCAACTGTTGTCAGACTATCACTGGCATCCTACTAAGTGAAACCCACCCTTTTCCCCTCTCTCCCTTTTTAACTTCACTTTAATGTTTACTTGCTTCAATCAGTAAACTTTAAGCTCCACGGTTCCCCAGTTTTTCCATTTTCACTTCCAACTTTTCCTCTTTTTTTTTCCCTTTGATGGTTTAGCTGAAGACTGGTGGCAGTCCACAGCTTACCCACATATGATTTTTCCCTCTCTGTCAGATTTCTGGGATTTTCTCAGGTACCCTTTTCTTCCAATTTCTTTACTTCCCCCCCCCCCTAAGATCAAGCTAGTAAGTATATAAAATTATGGTTATAAAAGTAGGGTTCTTTGGCTTTCTTCTCGTTACTGATGATAGTGGTTCCCGTTGTACTTCAAACCTAATTAAGCATCCAGCTTGTGGGATATTTTTAAGCTCAACAATTGGGATTTTGAGTTGAGTTTTATTTAAAAAAATAGTAATACTTTTCCTCCATGCTATTTGTGGTTGGGATGAGAGTGTTGACTCCAGTGATGTTGACAGGATTTATAGCTACAATAAAAGTTGGAACTTTATTATTACTGGGAGTTTAATGACCCATTAAGGCTCTTCCCCCCATTCCCCACCCTTTCCTTTTTAGAGTTTAGTCCTCTCATGCTCTTCTTTTTCACTTGATGCTCCATCTTTGATGATTGAACTTGGGACCATAAGAAGAAAATTCTCATTTGGTTTCTTCCCTTGGAAAATGGATGTTTCTTGGTCATGATTCTTTTAGACATTTAGCAAAGATAAGGGTGTTGACTTCTGACCAAAAAACAATCATAATGTTGAATTAGATACAAAATTTTCACCTTTTGTGATTATGAAGAACCCTTGATGATTTGATCAAGTGTTTGATTTTGAGTGGGGCGTAAAAATTTGATTAACATGACAGGTGTTTGATTATGAAGAACTAGAGCTGTTAAATCCAGTAGCTCAGTAGGTGAATTAGGTTTGGCTTGGTGTTCTTTAGAGTGTTGGGGGGCACTTTCTGGACATCATTCGATGGAATCCGCATCGTTTAAAAGGGCCCGGGCGCCTGGCCACGGAAGCCTAGTGCCGTCGTGCTTGGTCGATGGCTGCACTGCAGACCTCAGCAAATGCAGGGACTACCATCGACGCCATAAAGTATGTGAAGTTCACTCTAAGACCCCAAAAGTTTCAATTAGGGGTCAAGAACAACGATTCTGCCAGCAGTGTAGCAGGTAAATGGATTTGCTGCAGTTTATGTAGTGATTTAAGCTCTGTCTGAATTCTGATATGTTTTCATCGTGTAAGTATTCGATTTCATGTCTGGTTCATATCCGGACATGTACAGATTAGATGCTTATACTCTAATGTGATTTTCTCCTTACAAGACCCTATGCTTCATTGATGAATATAGGAGCTTAGTTTATGGTGAATACATTTTATTAGGTTTCATTCGTTGGTGGAGTTTGATGAGGTGAAACGAAGCTGTAGGAAACGTCTCGACGGACATAACCGACGACGGAGAAAGCCCCAACCGGATTCTCTGTCTGTGAATTCAGGGATGTTTCTATCCAGTCACCAAGGTTGAACTGGTTTTTTTCTGAAATTTTTTTATGCAAAAGCTTGTTTCACCCTCAATTTGCGAGTGTTTGATATCAATGGTGACTCTGCAGCAGGTACTCAATACTTTCCGATCAGCAGCCCCCAAATATTTTCGACGACTGCCGTAACGTCTTCTTGGATGGGGACCCTGAAACTGGAAACCGATATGAACTTGATAAACTTCAGCGGCAGAACTAGCTTGTTCCCTGTATTCTCATCTGATAACTACAAAGGAGAAAAGCAGTTCTCATTCTTACAAACTGCTAGTTCGTCACTCCCAGGAAGTGTTTCAGTTTGTCAACCGTTTCTCGATGCGATTCCTTCGTCAAGCAATGGTGGCAGCAGCCGGAAAATGTTTCCGAACGCGATAAATCAAACTATCGACTCAAATCGTGCTCTCTCTCTTCTGTCATCCCAACCGGTTGAGACTCGGGAGATTGGTCTGAGCCCCTTGGTGCAACATGGCTCAGCTTCATCATTGATCCCAAACTTGCATTATAATGATTTAGGAGGAATAGGAGGTGAGCAAGTCGGAACTGCAGTTTTGGCCGCTGACGGTCGTGGTAACACCACTCTCCATGGCCATGAAATGTTCCAAAATGAACACCCAGGGTCATCTGCAACTGGTGCTCACCAGACACTCTCCTTCTCATGGGAGTAAAGATATTTGCCATTTCCAATCTTACCTTAAAATCAGATGGTTTTGGATATGAACTTATTAGTGTGTTTTGGTTTTAGAATATTTAATGAACTTCTGTTTGACTGAGTGGGGAATAATGTGTGAATCTTTGAGACAAAATTATGTTTGCTTCTGCAGTTGTAGTTGCCCCATGGCATTTGATGCTTTTGTTCTTCAACATATAATTTCTTACACCAGGTTTAGTATTACATGACAATACAATTAGTAATATTTCTTAACAATACACACGTACCGTGTAAATGTAACTCTTCGAATTCGAAACTTAAATGAAAAATTATGCTCTTCTTTTAACCACTGAGGCTTCACGTAGTACCATTGAAAGAGGATAAGCACCGAGCTAGAAATAAATCATATTAGCAGAACAACAAAAAATAACGAGCAAAACCAGAGAAATTTAGGATTTAGAAAACAGTTGGTGACGGCTTGGCATTTTCTTTAGCACCATTATAATCATGTCAGTGATAATCAATGGATCCCATCTCTGAAGAAGATGCCAGGCGCTCTTTATTCCTAAAACCAACAAAAACAACATCGCCTGAACACCACACATCATTTAAAAAAGAAGCTATATAGATCATTGTATATCAGTCATGGAAAAGCTAAAGGGAATATATCCAGTACCTACTCGGTCTGGGACAGCCATTAATCTTTTCTTTTAAGCTTATGGACGGCTTGGGTTAGCTTGGGGGGTTCATGTTTATCCAAAAAGCTAAAGCACACTCTACCAACGTGTATCAGGTGTGTTATATGTTCATTTCCATCACTGTAACAAGATTCTGCATGGGATTTGTTGATTGATTTGCCATATCAGATAATATATTGTATTATAATCAATTAATTAATGTTCTCTCTTTATATATTTGAGAGTTTGCTCAACAAAAAAAAGCAACTTCTGTCCTAAGTTTCATCGTCGACTAAAACAGATTACAAATGGAGGCAGCTCAAAAGAATGAACACTTGAGAGGCAAGTAAGCCAAGTCTTTCTCTCTATTTACCAAGCCAAGGCGCACGAGCGGCGGCAGCAGCAAGGTGATTCTCTGCTTGACGCAATCATCAGCGATCCCGAGGGTGTCGATGTATTCTTATGCTAGCTCGAAGCAGTCGACTAGAACTTTCCATGAACAGGAAAATGTACCAAACCAAGACTCACCAGAGATGGACGCATGATTTTATATTAGGGGGACAAATTTAAACTTATAAAATTTTAGGGGCGAATTTATATCTCCAGACCACTCTTTAGTGAGGTACTCCCAGGGGTGAATAGCCGGCCAAGAATCGCTTGATATGAAATTCTCATCTTTCCAAAAATGACTGCGAATCTATACAGTGAGCAACTGAGCACAACACACAAAACGACCAATTTTTGTCTGTCTACAATTAGTTAGAGACCTAAAAGTTTCTGGCAGGATTGCTAGAGCCGTATAGATCCTTGGCTTCAGTCTGTCGAAGAAGTCTGCCACACTAGCTTCAATATGCCCCTTGTCCTTCGGGAAAATGACCAACCCACAAATGCCCAAAGCAAATACATCCATTCTCTTACCCATGTCTTGATGAGTATGAACTACTCCCACCAAGCTTGACCGAGGGATCTTCTACCATTTATCCCACATTCCCGTGATGCTTACAAGCTCAGTTTTAAATGCTTGAACCTTTGTCATTCTTGCATAAATCTTGTCTACCTTAATGCTTTCAAAGTTGAGCAAAATTGTATATTCTTCGATGTTAGGCGTCATGTCTTCCTTGTTGAACGTAAAGGAACTGTAAGCCGGATCCCAAAATCTGACCATGGCATTGATCAAGGCCTCATTTACTTCTACAAACAAAAGCTGAGCAATATCATCATACTTTTGGTGGAACTGCCGTTGCGTGTCAATTCCCTATCTATCCCACGTATTACCACTGAGGCTTCACGCATGGTTTCAAATCGCGGTCGCGATCACGTTTTTGGTTATTTTGGATTTACCGTGATTGCGGCCGTCGTGGGCGCTATTGCGGTCGTCGCGGACGCTATTGCGGCCGTCGCGGATAACTCGGACGGCGGCGAAACCACTATATCGCGGTCGCAGACCCTTTTTAAAAACCCTGGCTTCACGTATTACCATTGAAAGCGGATAAGCACCGAGCTAGAAATAAATCATATTAGCAGAACAACAAAAAAATAACGAGCAAAACCAGAGAAATTTAGGATTTAGACAACAGTTGGTGATGGCTTGGCATTTTCTTTAGCACCATTATAATCATGTCAGTGATAATCAATGGATCCCATCTCTGAAGAAGATGCCACTCTTTATTCCTAAAACCAACAAAAACAACATCGCCTGAACACCACACATCATTTAAAAAAGAAGCTATATAGATCATTGTATATCAGTCATGGAAAAGCTAAAGGGAATATATCCAATACCTACTCGGTCTGGGACAGCCATTAATCTTTTCTTTTAAGCTTATGGACGGCTTGGGTTAGCTTGGGGGGTTCATGTTTATCCAAAAAGCTAAAGCACACTCTTCCAACGTGTATCATGTGTGTTATATGTTCATTTCCATCACCGTAACAAGATTCAACAAAAAAAAGCAACTTCTGTCCTAAGTTTCTGTTGAAAACTAAACAAATCCACCGAAAGGTGGATTAAACAATGCACCGAAAGTGGGAACAATTAATGGCACATGACATTTGTTGAATTTTTTTGAAAAATCATTTTTAGTCATTGTAATTTAGGATATTTACAAATTAGTCCTTAAGTTTTAACTATAAATACATTAGCTCATTTAGCTTCAAAATCATCCCAAAGCATTCTAGCTTTCTTCCAATACTAAAGAGAATTTAGAGAGTTTCTTGAGAGTTGTTTTCTCCTTTTTATCAAGAGAGAATTATCATTGTTTTTTCCTTGGTAGATCGAGAGAAGTTGCAATTCCTATTTTCTCATAGTGAAATTCTTCTACCGTTGCCCGTGGTTTTTACCCTATATTATTTAGGGGTTTTTCACGTAAATTTTGTATCTTCTTTATCTTCATTTTTATTTTTTCAAATTATCAGTTGCGATTTTGCTCTATTCGATAGCCGTCTTCCGCAACAATTGGTATCAAAACTAGATTTGAGTGTGTAATATCTACTTATTGTCTTTGTGGTTGCCACCAAAAGGTGGATCCTCCAACATAAGAAAGTAAGAAGGTATTACCCATTCTTTAAAGGTTCTAGAGAACTATTCACGATGGTGAAATAGTGGGAGCTATCCGTAATAGAAGCTATGGCAACGAAATTTAATATTGAAAAATTTAATGGAAGAAATTTCTCATTGTGGAAATTTTTTGCTCTATTCGATAGCCGTCTTCGCAACAATTGGTATCAAACTAGATTTGAGTGTGTAATATCTACTTATTGTCTTTGTGGTTGCCACCAAAAGGTGGATCCTCCAACATAAGAAAGTAAGAAGGTATTACCCATTCTTTAAAGGTTCTAGAGAACTATTCACGATGGTGAAATAGTGGGAGCTATCCGTAATAGAAGCTATGGCAACGAAATTTAATATTGAAAAATTTAATGGAAGAAATTTCTCATTGTGGAAATTGAAGATGAAGGTCATCCTGAAGAAAGACGGTTGTCTAGCAGCTATCAGTGAAAGGCCGGTAGATTTCACAGACGACAACAAATGGATCGAAATGGACGGGAATGCTATGGCAAACTTTCATCTAGCATTAGCAGATGAAGTATTGTCAAGCATCGAGGAGAAGAAGACAGCTAAGGAGATATGGGATCATCTCACCAAATTGTACAAGGCCACATCGCTGCACAATAAAATTTTCCTTAAGAAAAAATTGTACACTCTCCGTATGCCAGAATCTACTTCAGTGACGGAGCACTTAAATACACTGAATACCTTATTTTCTCAGCTTACATCCTTAAGCTGTAAAATAAGAGAACAAGAACGTGCTGATCTTTTACTTCAAAGTCTACCGGATTCGTATGATCAACTCATCATCAACTTGACAAACAGTAATGTCACCGGTCTAGTCTTCGATGACGTTACAGCTCCTGTTCTACAAGAAGAAAATCGGCGCAAGAATAAGGAAGACAAACAAGTAAATCTGCAACAAGCAGAAGCATTGACAACGATGAGAGGGAGATCAACAGAACGTGGCCAAAGCAGCAGTCACAAACATGGTAGATCGAAGTCAAGAAGCAAGACATTTAAAGTGCTACAACTGTGGAAAGAAGGGTCACTTGAAGAAGGATTGTTGGAGACTAAATAAAAACTCCAATCCACAAGGCAATACTACAAACACTTCAGATGATGGAGATGCTCTATGCTGTGAAGCGTCAACCACCGTGGAAGGTAGAAAGAGATATGCAGACATATGGCTCATTGATTCGGGAGCAACATATCACATGACCTCAAGAAGAGAATGGTTCCATCATTATGAACCTGTCTAAGAAGGATCTGTGTATAGTTACAATGATCACGCCTTAGAGATCATTGGCGTGTAAACCATCAAATTGAAGATGTATGATGGAACAATTAAAGTTGTTCGAGATGTGCGGCACGTGAAAGGCCTGAAGAAAAATTTATTATCCTACGGATTGTTGGATAATAATGCAAGTAAGATTGAAACACGGAAAGGAATTATGAAGGTGTTCCGTGGAGCGCTTGTGGTGCTGAAAGGTGAAAAGATAGCAACAAACTTGTACATGTTGAAGGGAGAGACTTTGCTAGAAGCATAAGCCTCTGTTGCCTCATGTAGTTCAGATTCTGCAATGCTATGACATCAGAAACTTGGACACATGTCAGAACAAGGAATGAAAGTCCTTGTGGAGCAAAAACTACTTCCATGCTTAACAAATGTATCACTTCCTTTGTGTGAGCATTGCATAACAAGTAAGCAGCACTGGTTGAAATTCAACACATCAAATTCTAGAGGCAAAAGTTGTTCTAGAATTGGTTCACTCTGACGTATGGCAAGCACCAGTTACATCCCTAGGCGGAGCAAAATACTTTGTCTCATTTAATGATGACTACTCCAGGAGATGTTGGGTGTACCCTATTAAGAAGAAGTCAGATGTGTTTTT